TGATTTAATGAAGATTAAAGCCCAGAAAACTCTGTTGTTGTTGCTTTCAGATGCCGTCTAGTCAGGTATGGCTCATAGTAACCCTATGAACAGCCAACCTGAACCCTGCCCTATCCTGTACCGTCCTCATCATTTCTGACACACAAGAGCCCATTGCTCAAGTCACTAAGTCAATTCATCTCATTGGGGGTCTTCTTCTTCTTCTCTGACCCTCCATCTTTCCAAGCATGATGTCCCTTTACCAAGGAACAGCCTCACCTAGTTACGTGTCCAATGTATGAAAGACAATGCTTCACCATCTTTGCTTCCAAGGAGCACTCTGGATGCACTTTTCCCAAGACCTATCTGTTTGGGTTTTTTTGTCAGTCAATGGGCTATTCAGTATTCTTCTCCAGCATCACAACTTAAAGTCATCAGTCCCCCCTCTGTTGTCCTTATTCATTAGATGCCATCAAGTTGACTAGGACATATAGTGATCTTACAAACTCCAACCTCACAATCTCAACTGTGTTCAAGCAGAAAATCTAGAGACCCCAATGCTACTTCCATACACATCCAGCTGTCACCACTCAGAACTGGCTCAACAGCAACAAGCCTGTTGCTGTTGAGTTCTCTGGCTTCAGACTTCTATAGAGGACACATAGCCCAAACCATTTCCATAAGCAACCATTCAGTCTAGCACTTCACCTACATTCTAGATAAAGCCACCGCGTGTTCAGAGGTGGCCCAGGAAAGAGAAGATTTTAGGTTTTGTTTCATTCCTGTCTGATCACGTCTCTCATCATTAGTTCCTGTTTTCACAAATCTGATTGTTTACGAAAGAAAACATTTAGCGGTCAACAAGGAACTCAATGGCTTCATATTCAACTACTCGAGCAGAACAGAAATGGAAAGTGATCAGTTCCTTGGGGTTAGGGAGGGGAGGCAGAGAGTGGGAGCAGTGTGGGGGAGAAAACATGTTGACCATTCAGGAACTTACAGGAAAGCTGACCTCTCTAGTCACTCCATTCTGGCCTCACCTTGACAGAAGACTAGGCCAATAGACCACTGTCACCTTGGCTTGACTGCTGTAGGCATTTCTTTCTGGAAAGGAGCATGGGCCACGTTGGAGTCAGAAGCACCATGAAGCGGGCATAGATGGGAAAAACGGGGTCTTAATGTGAGTCACTTGGTAACTCTACAATTTGCTGGTCTCATCCAATTTATGCAATCAGAAACTCTGGGGGAAGTCACAGGACCTTGTTACGCACAATAAAATATGAAATTCACTGAAAGGAAACATGTTGAGAAGCACTAACTTAGGCAAGCATTTTAACGATCCATTTTGGGTGAACCATAAATAACTTAGAGAGTAGTAGGCAGAAAAAAGGTTCCCCAAAGATGACTGTGTTCTGGCTTCCAGACCTTTAATGTATTTTCTTCCGTGTAAGAAGGGGTTTAAGGTTACAACTGAAATGCAAACAAATACATCTCAACTTCATTGCTATTGAGTTGGGATCAGCTCATAGCTGACCCTCCACTGGGTTTTCAGGAGGTTGAAAATCACGAGATTGCCCATCTTTCTCCTGCAGAGTCGGTGGACTTGAACCACCAGCATGGTCCACCTTTAGGTTAGCAGCACACTTCCCTACAGACTATGCCACCTGAGCTCCCCACAGATTGGAATTATATTTGCCAATTCAAACTGGGCTCAATAGAATCAGCCCTTATCCTCTAAAAGAAACAATAAGACAACAAATAAACGTTAAAAAAAGAACCCAAAACCAAAACAAAACAAACAAACAAAAAACCCCAACTCAAACCCACCACCACAGAGCCAATACTGATTCATGGTGACCCATCCATTAGATTTCCAGGGCAATAAATAAATCTTAACCCAAGAAGATCACCTCATCTCTCTTCCACAGAATGGCTAGTGACTTCACATTTTCAGCCTTTGGCTAGCAGCCTCAAACTACTATGAAACCAGCATTCCTTCATGCAATCTCTAGGGTCTGAGCATGTGGCAGAAGAAGATAGAGGACGAGTCAGAGAAGGCAATGTGATGCCAAAGTCACAGCAATGCCATGTGAGAAAGACCACTGCTGTCTGTGAAGATAAGGGAGTTGGGCTGAGAAGGCCAACTGCATTCAGAGGGATGTAAGTGGCCTCTAGAAGCTGTGAAGGCCAGCGAATAGGTTTTGTCTCAACCCACCAGGATAGATGCCCATGTTGATTGCAGCTCAGGAAGACCAATGTCAGATATTTGATCTAGAGAATTTTGAAATAATTAATTTGTGATGTCTTGAGCCACTAAGTTAGAGATTATTTGTAGCAGATGTTGTTAGGTGTCATCAACTTAAGTACTACTCATTAGCGACCCTATGAACAGCAGATCTGAACCCTGTCCTATCCTGCACCATCCTCACGATCTGTGACACCCTCAAATCCATTGCTGCAGTCACTGTGTCAATCCACCCATTTAATGGCCTTCCTCTCCTTCTCCAACCCTCCTCCTTTCCAAGCATGATGTCTCTCTCCAAGAACTGAACTCTCCTAGCAACATGCTCATAGTACGTGAGATAAAGCTTTATCATCTTGCTTTCAGATGAAGGCTGTCCTTTCAAAGGGGTTAATGATCCATGTCTATTGCTAGCTATTGATGTTATTGATTGATGTAACAGATGGGACTATAAAAAGAATCACATGCGTACAGTCTGGTTTCTGAAGAGCAAGAAAGCACTTGTGAAATTATAAGAAAACTCTCCACCTGTTGGTTGCCATGTATCATTAAGTCAGAACTGACTTGCAGCTAACCCTCCAGTGGGTTTTCAGAGACTGTAAATCACACAGGAGTTGATTGCCCACCTTTCTCCCTCAGAGCAACTAGTGGGTTTGAATAGCCTACCTTTGTGTTGGCAGCACAACGCCTTACCCACTAGACCACCAGAGCGCTGTCTTAGATTGCTATTGTGAATATTTTTCTACTTGCTTCTGAAGATGCACCCTCCACCCTTCCCCACTCTTATGCAGAAACGTGCAGACAAATCCAACAGACTGCCTCACCCACTGGCTTCCTTCCACTTTGGGTTCCACAGATGGGAGCGTTGACACGTGTTAGGAGGATTCTCACTGCCAGGTGCTGATCTGAGACTTGCACCACCCTGATAGGGCCTTGAGTCCTGTACTGTAAGTGCCTCTCTTGCTTCACTCTGTTCAACAGTAACCCTAACCCACAGGAAGAAGTAACTTCTCCACTGTTGCTGCCCACTGTCGTCATTAGGTGCCACTGAGTCAACCACACTCATGACAACCCCGTGAACTAAAGAGCTGTGTCATCATCACCACCTATCTGTGTCATCCTCATCACCTCTCCTCTACTCGTCCACTTACTGTTGTTAGGGGCCAGTGAGTTGCATATGTCTCATTGTTACCCAGTGAACAACCGATCTGAACCCTGTGCTATCCTGTGCCTTCCTCATCATCTCTACTACATTGTGCAGTCATTGTATTAATCCACCTCATTGGGGTCTTCCTCTCCTTTGCAAACCCTGCACTCCTCCAAGTACGATACCTCTTCCTCTCCTAGAAACATGTTCAAAGTATGTGAGGTGAAACCTCATCACCCTTGCCTCCAAGGAGCACTCTGGCTGCACTTTGTTTAAGGTGTACCTAGTTATTCTCTTAGCTCATGGGAGTTTGAGAGACTTCTCCGTCAAGGGGTTCAAAAAGGGGCTATCTAGAGCAGGTGAGGGTCTGAAGACTGCTCACAGCTTAACCACAAGGCACCTGGGATTCCTCCCCATTTCTCTCCTCCCCTCCCCTCCCCCACAACAGTCTTTGTTTTGGGGTGAACTGTGTCAGAGACCATGGTGGGAAAGCAGAAGCTGAAATGAGAAGTTCCAAAAATCCAACCCAACAATACCGGGAGAAGCAATTTAACTTTTAAACTACACTGGGTTGAGCAATATATCCAGTCATTATATATGCAACATGACTACATGCAAATCGCGTGCAAATACGAATACTCTCCTCCACAGGGAAGGCTTTGTCTGTGTTTTCTCTGGCTTCTAAAGCAAATCTAATTTGAGAAATAAAAATAGAAAATTACTCCATGGGAGATAAAATTTGTTTATGCATCCCAGCCCCTCTAGCAAGCCCCCAATGCTGTCCATGAGCTTAATATTATTCATTCACTCGGAAATGTCTGGCCTTGTGTGCCAAATCAGATTGCTAAACACAAAGTCAAACTTACCTGTGTGTATTTGGACCTGAGAAGAGAGTGACTCCTTTTCCAGGAAGCCAACCTAGATCACCAATCTTCCCTGTCCTGCCTCAAAAATGCCCAAAGGCTTGGTCAGGAGCTCTGACCTCTGTCTTACCAGGATGTGCTCAGTAAATGCTACTGAAGGCAGGAGTGGGTGAGGGCTCCAACTAGAATTAAACTCATGACCATCAAGTTGGAAGCTCTTCATAGATGACCTTGCATTGGGTTTCCCAAGCTTTAAATCCCACAGGAGGGAAATGAGATTGCCTATCTTTCTCTCTTGGAGCTGGGAGTGAAATTTGAAGCACCGGAGAGGGACTGCTTTTGAATTAGCAGTGCAACGTCTTAGGAACTAGGCTAAAAGAACTACCTACGGAATAACTGCTACAGAAAAATCTACAAACAAGACATGGCCCACTCCATCAAGACGTGCATCACCTGTTATTATGACCACTGGAATAGCCCTACTCCTTATCCACTTTCTGCCCCCACCCTCATCCCTGTCTCCAGTATTTTTAGAACAGCAACAAGCCAGGAGGAAGGTTGGCAGGAAGATGATGGGAATGTTAATATTCCAAATAAGGCTGCAAGAAATCTCAAAGCATCCTCTCTCCATCCCCTGAAAACAGTTGTTTCCTGCACTTAAACAGGAACATTATTCATTTATTTTTAGAAAATAGGATCTACAGGACTCTTCTGTCCCTGTAGGTGGGTGGGGCTGCCGAAGCCTAGTGCCCACTAGTCGTGAGCCTACCTGGGCTGGAAAGAACCAGAAGAAAAGGTTGCTGTTGTACTTCTTATCCACGGTGATGTAGCCGGAGTAACTCGTCAGATTCATTCCTTTGACATAACTGACCGTGCTCAATCTTTGCCCTGGTGGGGGGAGAATTTACCCAAGGATTAGAGGAATAATACCATGTTAGTGTCTCATTCTTGCCGAGCTTTCCCAGAGGCCAGCTCTGGGGTGTAATCATCAGAAAGCCTCCGGGTGGATTGGCATAAGCCTGCTTCCTACAGCAAATCCCAGGCTGCCCGGCTCATTCCATATATGTGACATTCACAATCCACCCAAGGACAATTGAATGTTTTCAGAGCCTCTATTGTCATTGTTGTAATGCACTGTCAGTGGGAACTGGTTCAGAGCTGACCCTCTAGAGGGTTTTCAAAGGCAACAAATTGCACAGGAGAGGCATGTCCATCTTTCCCCTGAGAAGTAGCTGGTGATTTTGAATCACATATGTATAGCTCCTTAACACTGAGACCTCTCCTCATACAAATTAAAAGACAGAGAAGAGGAAATTACCTGTCGCCAGGCCCACTTTAAGAGGTAAACGAAATTATTCAGTCCAGGCCATCAGGAAGGAGGCAGGATGAGGTTACCTAGCTCCAAGAAGGGTGATACCAGGAAATTACATAGCTAACAAGCTGCCAATCCTGAGGCTCCTCTTCTCTCCAGACTCTTACTTTAGAGCAAGACAAAGAACTGTCACTTCTGTGCTCAAAGGGAGTGATGGCGGTGTGTGCAAGTGGAGCAGGGAAGAGGGAGGAATGATGAGGAGAGGCAGATAATGAGACTGGGAGTGATTCCTTTCAAAAAACCACACCAGCTGTCATCCAGTCCATGCTGACTCAGCCTACAGGACAGAGCAGGACTGTCCTATGAGGTTTCTGAGATGAAATCTTTATGGAAGCTGACTGAGCTGTCTTTCTTCTGAAGAGTTAGCTGGGGGGGTTCAGACCATTAATGCTTAGCCCAGACACCGTCAGGATTCTGCTAGTGACTAGAAACCACTGCACAGAGTTGATTTTGACATGTGGTAACCCACCTTAGGGTTTCCAAGGTTATAATCTTTAGGCGAGGAGATGGCCTCACCCCAGAGCAGTGGTAGATTCAAACAAATGACTTCGGGTTAGCAGTTCAACACATAACTCACAACATTATGGGTGTTGGATAGGGCAAGGATCCAGCTTTTATCTGGCAGCAAAGGATGGAGAAGGGGCAGGAAGGGAGAGAGAGGCAATGCTCAGGCAACTGAAGATTCCTCAGGATTAAATAATATTAATAGGAGCTGACACTACTAAGGCTTGATATTTATATTATGCAATATGTAGAATTATTATTTCCACTTTACAAATGATAAAAGTAAAGCACAGCTAGGTCACACAGCTAGTACGAGATCTGAGTTCTGAGCCTGGCAGTCAGGCTCCTGCTCCACCCTGCTGCCAAACCTCTTCTGAGCCAGCAGTCCTCAGAAGAGGTTCAGGGAATGGGAAGGGATGGAGTACAGAGAGGGAAGTGGAGAGGGAATAGAAACCAAGTAGTAGACTTGGGGGAAAATAGAAGCGGAAGTGTGGGGAAGAAGAAGAAGAATCTCTTAGTGATGAAAAAGCAAGTGTCATCAGCAAGAACTAATCATTCAAGAAAAGTTAGTTAAGCCTGAGGCATGGTAAGTTGCAAATCAGCTTGATAGAGAGAAGTGGCTAAAGAGATTTGAGTTTAAATATATCTCCCTCCCACAGATCACCATGCCTACAAAGGTATGCTGAGGCCACTAGGCTCTATCTATAGTGTTGCATGGTGCCACCTCTTCCTAACCCCCCCCCCCCATTATTCAGAGTGGCTTCACTGATAGCTCAAAATCTGCTATGTTGTTGTTTGGTGCAGTACTACCTCTTACTCCATCCCGTGCCATTCTCAAGATCTCCATCATGCTCAACCTCATTGCTTCTGTCTCTGTGTCAAGTGAGGGAGTATTTATGGGCAGAATATGGGTGCTACTACATGGACAGCCTTTGGTGTGGATTATATCTCAACATCAAGAAAACAAAGGGCCTTGCCTCGGCACTACTGGATAATATTATGACATATGGAGGAAGGATTGAAGTTGTCAATGACTTCATCTTGCTTGGTACCAGCAGTTAGGAAATCAGGAGACATATTGTATTGGGCAAGCCCACTGTCAGATACCTCTCCAAAATACTGAAAATTGGGGATGTCATCTTAAAGATTAAGGTGTGCCTGATTCATGGTCATGGTCTTCTCAATTTCCTGCTACACATCAGAGAGCTGGGCAATTAATAAGGATGACAGAAGAATTGATGCCTTTGAGCTATGGTGCTGGAGAAGAGTACTGAACATCCATGGACTGTCAAAAGAATAAACAGATATCTCTTGGGAACAGTGCAGCCAGAGTGCTCTTGGAGTCAAAGATGGTGAAGCTTTGTCATTCAGACTTTGAACGTGTAGTTAGATGAGGCTATTCCTTGGAAGGGGACTTCATGCTTGGAAAGATGGAGGGTCAGCGAAGAAGAGGAAGACCTCCAAAGAGGTGGACTGACACAGTGACATGAGCAATAGGCTCTAGTGAGGCAGATGATGAGGATGGCACCAGATGGAGCAGGGTTCAGACCGGCTGTTCATAGAGAGGTTATGAATAATATTCAACTAGGCAGCATCTAACATCATCAACAACACCACCTTGGACTCCTCGCCATTCCCACTAGAGCTGTTGTTTTGCCAACACTCAAACACTTCTGCAGCTACAAATTTCTGTTCCCCAGTAGAAATGTCTCCCAGGATGGAAAGACCTCAGGCAGATGCCAGAGCTCCTTCCCACCAGCACTTGGTGGATCCCAGCTATTACCGACCCTCTATGTGACCTCACTGTGCTCCAGTGTCCTCACTACATGAAGCATGGTTTACTGATAAGACACGAAGAGTCTGCACCTGGAAATGACATGTGGGAAACAGAGCTGGTGTTCTTATCTAATTCATTAGCTGTAGGAGCAGAGGTGGGAATTGCACTTCCACACATGCTCAGAAGATGAGGACAATGAAGGAATAACCTCAGTGGGTGGTTTCCTGAGGGTCCTCCAAGGCCAACATACTGTCCACTGCTGCAAAAACTCTTCATCTAGTTCCCAAAGTTATAATTCTTTCCTAGAGGAGACTGCTCATCTATCTCCCGTAGAGGAGTTGGTAGATTCAAATCACTGACCTTTAAGTTACCAGTACAACACTTAGCTCCTAGACTAATGCAAGATAACAAGCATGGGTTTCTGAATCAGACAGTGGTGGGTTTGTGATTCACATTAGAATCACCTCCACAAACTCCTCATCTCCTTCAATCTCTTTCCTCTTGTGTAAGATCTGATTATGTGGCCCCCCTCCGCCCCTACTTACCCAGGGCTTTCTCTGATGATCAAAGGGGAAGTTGCATAAGAGCCCTTCACACACAGCTGAACACAAAGCAAGGGGTCAGTAAATGGAGTTCCTGGATGATGTAAACAATTCACACAATCAAAAAGTTGCAGGTTTGTGTCTACCCAGAGCTACTTTGCAAGAAAGAATGGCAATCTACTTCTCAAAGGTCAACCACTGAAAACCCGGATTCTCCTCAGAAACACGTGGGACCATCAAGAGTCAGGACTGGCTTGAGAAGAACCTTTTCATTAACTTGAGAGCCATGATTATCATTGGTCCAAGTGAAGTCCAAAAGTGCACACCTTTTTCCAGTCAGTCAGTTCCCCCAGGGAAGGCTGACTGATGCAATCTCTCTAGCTCTGCTCTTTCTCTTCCCTATGAACCCTATCTCTCCCCAGAGAAGTGAGAGAGGGGAATAAAGAAAGTTGGGGGGGGGATTAGAAGTAAAGGAAAGAGTGGCCTTGGAGGGAAGTGGTGTGTATCAGCCCTCTCCAGAACTCCCTTACTCTCATTCTCAGCTAACCCCTCAAATAAGATCTCTTCTACGGTGGTGAAGCCTTCCGAATGCTTTTGAAACATTTTTAGCCAAACTATTCATTTTCTCAAAATCCAGCAGAGACCTAGGGAAAAGGAAGATAGGGAGATAAAGACTAAGGAGTTGGGCATGAGTGAGATGTGGACCACAGAAACAGGCAGGAGAGGGATTCCAGAAAGAAGACAGAGAAAAATGAGAAAGATCAAAGTATAATAATGAGAAAAAGAGAAAGCAGGTAATAGAAAGAAGCCAGAGGGAATGGAATTCAGGGGTGAGATGATGCAATCAATCTATCTTTCCCAGACCAGCCAGTCTGCTGGTCTCCTCTCAAAATCACTCAAATGCTCGCCTACCCCTACCTTCCTGAGGACACCAAAGTTTGCTTTTATTTTTTTTTTCCTATCTTATTCTTGGTGGGAAAGATTTCCTAGATTTCTTTTTTTATCAGGTGCTCTTCGAGAGCAAGAAGTTATCTTTTCCCCTCTTCCTTCACTCATATCCACGCCCAGCAGGAGAGAAAGCTGATTTGAATACTTAAGACCTAACAATACAGAGCTGTGCTGCCAATCCAAAAGTGAGAGGTTTGAATCCACCAGCTGCTCCATAGGAAAAAGATGGACAATTTCTTCCTGTGTGACTTACTGCCTCTGAAAACCTGGTGGGAGATCAGTTAGGAGTCAGGTCCAATGATGTCACCCAACAACAACAATGATTACCAATGAGCAGTAACATTCTTCTTTTCAATGGAGAAACTCTCCTTAGATTGCTGACCAATGTGCCTCTGGTATAGTCCCTACTCATCCATCTATTAGTGGAGGATTGTCAAAACAGATTTTAGGGGAGAATCTAGACTAAGAAGAAAGATCGGGCAATCTAGTTGTGAAAAATCATTAAGCACAAAATCTCTGGATCAAGATGCAGCACAGATTGCCACAAGTCAGGGTGAATTGCCAGGAGCCAGGGGCCGACTCAATGGTATCATGGATTGGTGGTGGGCAAATGAATGGATAACCTAAAGAAGGACACCATGGCAATGTTCTAACTTTGCTTATTTCCATAAGCCTCCTGAAGAGGGAAGGTCTTCTTAATACTTTCAGAA